TCATACTACGTGCATTTTAAAATTAAAAGGGGTAAGGACAATAGAGAACTCCAGAATCAGGATGAAAAAAAGGTGGCCGGGTAATAGGGGTTTTATTTACAGTATTTTCTGACATAAAGTTACAGACTGATGTACATATGTTATAGTGTCCAATTTTGAAGCTAAAATAAACAAGGCATTTCACATATTTCTCACGAAAAACGTGGTAAAATATCCATACATGTCATACATGTAAAGAAATTGAACAAGATATCTGGTGAATCGATCTTAATCTATAATCGATAACTTTACAGGTCCTCCAGTCTAATAGGATCAAAAATCAACGTAAGTACAGTTAATTTGACAATTTACTGAACATCATTATCCTAAATTTAGATCATGGCTATATATTTCATTAATTATTATAGTGAGAAAGTGAACTATCTTGACACCAAAATCCGAATCTAAATCTATTTGGTAACGGCAAAATTTTAGAAATGAAACTGTCTAAATTTGCTTTTTTGAGCTAAAAAATTATGGCAACCTGCAGCGTCTATCGACGATAAAAAGACTACGAATTGCCTCGATGTGTCATAAGAAAAACTATAGAAAAGCGTGCCTCGATTGCTGATAAAATTCAGCGTGTACTAGTTGCCTATGGGTACAGGTTGATAACGATAAGCTAGCGCTCTCTGGTTGCGTTTTAATTATAAGGTCAATGGGCAACTGACACTTTTACTGCATGAAAGGATTCTGCACTGGCGTTTTTGTGTTTTTCAAGGGCAAAACACGAGCTAATTTGTCAGAATTCATCTGCCACTATTATAAGGCCACGAAGTAACCAAAAAATAAGTATTGTTACTTAAAATATTTCTTTGCGATGACAGATTTCCCAGCAAAATTGTGACAATTTGGAAATCCTACATCTCAATAAATTTCCAGGTAAATGTCCCAGCCAGCCACCTTTTCAACCAACCAGGAATACAAGCCACCAAAATTACGTCCAGTTTCGGGTGAGGATTAAGTTCATAAAACTGAGTGGTCCTGAGGATCGAACATTTCAAGCCACAGAGTCCAATATTGCTGAAAAAAAATACCCCCCTGGACTGTTTGAGTTCAAAGTGTCTATTTATTAAAGTGCGCTCAGTTTTCTTTGGTCTATTTTTACACTCACTGTTCGGCTGCACTTGCACAATTTAATTTAAGAAAACTTCCAACTATCAAACTATTTGTTTTGGTTCTTTAGATTACGCCGTTTGTGAAGTCTTGTTTAGCTTACTTGCGAAATGGCCAAATGACGCAGTTATTTTTCCTTAACGATCGAGGCAACGCAGAGAAAATTTGAAGGATATGAGACGTTAGTCGATTAGTGTTTTGCGACTGGACGATTGCCATTAATCTAATAATAAAAATAATAATAGTGGAGGAATTAGGTCGTGCAATAGAAAGCAATAGTACCTTAGCAGTCTAGTGCGCATACGTGAACAATCTACCTTTAAAAAAATCACACGCAGTTCAACAATAGGGCGATTTCATTCACCTGGCCATTATTCAAGCAAATTAACTGGAACAAAAGTAGGTATTTAAATAGAAAAGAGCTGGACTAAACTATCAAAGGATTGGTTTGCTTCACCAACATGGCCGCCGTCAAATTGCTTAGGAACACCAATATGGCTGCGATGACCTCATGTGAAAACGAGCAATTCGTCTTGGCACCATAGAGCGTTTCTACTCAGGTGACCAGCAGCCATTCAAATTTATTATAATAAAGAAAGTGTTTACATAAGAAAAAAGGTTCAACTCCCACAGGATTGGCCTGGGATACCAACATGGCCGCAGTTTCATTGTTTCGGGACACCCTGATTGTTTGAGTTCAAAGTGTCTATTGATGTTTCCTTTCTTTTGCTTATTATTACAGTCACTATTTTGCCGCATCCGTTAAATTTAATTTAACAAAACTTCCAATTATCAAACTATCTGTTTTGGCTATTTCGATAATGCCGTTTGGGAAGTCTTATGTAGCTTACTAGCGAAATGGCGAGTCTTCAGAGAGCAGAAGAGACCAGCCTTGGAATGGCTGCACAGACAACTCTTTGGTTTCATTACTGTGGAGAG